AATACATATTTAACACTATAAACTACGCATGTTTTAAAATATGAACTTATGTAAACAAACCTTGATATTAAAATGAATATATAATAACAAATTCGTTACACTATCTACCAATCTAAATCTCTACTATTTTGACATAAATTCAGACAGTTTAGCAAATTGAACGTTACGGCAAGATTAACCTGTATTAGCAAGACTTACGTACTGTTACGTTATAGAGAAATTGTGTGTGCTCAATATCATGAATTGTTACATCTTCACCACTCTAGTTGAGAGAAGATGGCTAGACAAAAAATACTACACTAATTAGAGACTATCCAGGATCATAAGATTTACGTATTTCCTGAGATGAACATTCCGAATTTCATTATGATCTGTAGCTTGAGAACCTGAGATGAATAGGTTCGCGTAATATTACAAATTAAAGATATTAGTTATGAACATACCATCCAATATTCTAAAGCATAAAGTAAAGTTATCCAATGTGACGTTATCCAGATGACGTTAAAGTAATATTAAAAATGAGAATTAACCAGATATTCTACTAACTATAGTATTCTTTCGATACCAAGAATTCAATAAGACATTTGGATTTGGTTTTCAGAAGTAAATGGTATATATGAAGATAACACCAGTGAGAAAGACTGGATGAATATATTATTCGCAAAAGCAAACGTACATTTAGGCTACTTAATAAAAATGCATTATAACAAGATCTATACAGACTTGATATCCTAGAACAGCAAATATTCTACAGGAGAGTTGATTCTGTTGCCGCTAGGGGTGCTAACATCACCGAACCAGTAGTTTTATATAATGTGTAATTTAGAAAAGTAGTATGTAGATGTTTTAATGTTTACATTATAATAGGTGAAAGTGTCTATAATATATGCTATTAGCAGAAATGGCATATTTCAAAGAACTTTGCATTATCTTATTGTTTAAGTAAAGTTTAAGATAAGAAAATTACATTAAATCAACATTAAGTAGTTTTTTCAGAAAGGAGTTTAATCACCAACAAAGATTGACACCAACATATAATTGATGATTAAACTGGTAGGATGCTGAGCCGTGTATTTGATTTTAAACATATACACGTATTTAGGTTATTCGAAATTCTCAGGTTTTAATACTCTACACAGTATTAGGTTCTAACTTAGATTGAATCCCACACAGTATTCATAGGTAGAATCTGACGCAACTGTAGCACTGAAGTAGATTTGGAAAACTTCTTTAACTTTTAAAAACTTCTAATTTGGTTGTTCTCTAATTAAAGTCAAAAGCAAGGAATTGTGAAACTTCGACGATGTTGTCATTTGATTCTACAGATATGCGGGATAAATGTATCAACAATACTACACAGTTTGGAGTTGAGTCTTATTTGAGAATTCTCCTTTGTATTCTTAAACTGAGGTAAGAGACTTGTATATTTTTGTACAAGGATTTTAATGTTTAATAATAATTTCTAATTGGAATAAGATATAGTTACCAGCACGTGTAAATCACTCTTGACGTCAAGGATAAAGATGCACATAGTAATATTTCTATAACAGTTTATTTTCTTTGATCTCTCTCTCGATGACATTAGAAAATATATATTAATTACTCGAACATCATTCTGAAATTGTTTGATGTTTCTTTGCAATAAAACCTTGATAAAACAGTTACTTGTGTTATGTGGCTTCTGACAACTGTAATGTGAAGATACCGTCTAGTCTGAAATATTTTACGCTAACAGGAAGACTACAAAATTGTGAGAGTGTTTGCCTTCATTTTCTGAGTAAATTGACCGCTAGTTATTCAGTTTTTTAAGCTTAGTATAAAATTTTTAAATATTTAGTATAATGAAATTTCATGTGTTTAAGGAAAATTAACTTATAAATATTTATGAGACAAAATTAGACGCTACAAACAAGGAAATATAGCATGATTTAAAAGTGAAATATTAAACTGTGATGTTTCAAAATAGACGAAATAATTTAGTTTTAAAAGTTTTAGTACATTAATGAGACGTAATCTATAATTACAAGGGTAAGCCCCCCAGTGGCCTAGCGGTATGTCTGCAGACTTACAACGCTAGAATCCGGGTTTCGATACCCGTGGTGGGCAGAGCACAGATAGCCCTTTGTGTAGCTTTGTGCTTAACTACAAACAAACAAACAAAATACAAGGGTAAACTTAATGACAATGGATGGCGGCTTTAAGTATACTATTATCAAGAATGGCATAAGCTATACGTAGTCATTATACGCGCGATTATGAAATTAAAATGAGGATCAACTCATTTTCTTATGTGTGAACGTTGAATTTACACGTTTTTTCCTTAATGGATTACAATCTTAATAAATCTTAAGAAAAGAGCTTTCCTATATTTTCGCGGGGTTTCGTCGATCGGGTAGAAATTATGGTGAATATTAGGGTGACTCGAACGCCGTTGGGTGAGAATGATTTATTTAGGGCGGAGCATGTATGTCACGTGCTATTGGCAGACAGTTTTTATAGAGTAGTCATGATGAATTATGGCGATGTCGACGATGCTGAAAAATAATCAATCTTAAATTATAGTGACGAACAGAACTGATTGATGATAGAATTGGCGGAAAATCGCTTCGAAGAACCTGACCGTGCAGAAGATGCAACCAGAGATGATCATCACAGTTGGAACTCGATATCTGAAGGTTTGAGGTATTTATTCAACTCAAGTATTGAAAATATCTAAGAAACCTACAACAAAAACTAATGTTGTATTTAATATTGAAATGTTCAAAATCCTGAAGAATAATCAAGTTTCCTGAATAAAGAAATCTTAGTAGCGTTTAAAGAATTAAAATCCTGAAAAATCATCGAACTTCCCTTAAAAAGAAGTCTTAATAGCATTTAAAAGATTAAATCCTGAAGACTCCTCAAGCTTCCCGAAGAAAGAAGTCTTAATAACATTTAAAGGATTAAATCATGAATACTCCTCAAGCTTCCCGAAGAAAGAAGTCTTAGTAGCGTTTAAAGGATTAGAATCCTGAAAAATAACCAAACTTTCCATAGAAAGAAGTCTTAGTAGCGTTTAAAGGACTAAAATCCTGAAAAACTATCAAGCTTCTCGAAAGAAGAAGTTTTAATAGTGTTTAACGGATTGAAATTTCGAAGAATCATCAAACTTCCTCAAGAAAGGAGGCTTAGTAGCGTTTGAAGGACTAAAATCCTGAAAAAACTATCAAGCTTCCTGAAGTAAGGAATATTAATAGCGTTTAAAGGATTAAAATCCTGAAGAATCATCAAGCTTCCCGAAGAAAGAACTCTTAGTAGCGTTTAAAGAATTAAAATCCCGAAGAATCATCAAGCTTCCTGAAGAAAGAAAGAAATCATAGTAGCGTTTAAAGGATCAAAATCTCAAAGGATCATCAAGCTTCTTCAAGAAAGAACTCTTAGTAGCATTTAAAGGATTAAAATCCTGAAGAATCATCAAGCTTCCTGAAGAAAGAAATCATAGTAGCGTTTAAAGGATCAAAATCTCAAAGGATCATCAAGCTTCTTCAAGAAAGAAATCATAGTAGCGTTTAAAGGATCAAAATCTCAAAGGATCATCAAGCTTCTTCAAGAAGTGAGGCTTAGTAGCATTTGAAGGGTTAAAATTCCGAAGAATCATCAAGCATCTTCATAAAAAGAAGAGTTAGTAGCGTTTAATGGATTCAGATCCCAAACAATCATCAAGTTTCATCAAGAAAAGAAGCTTAGTAGCGTTAATGGATTAAAACCTAAAGAATCATCAAGCTTTCTCAAGAAGGAGGCTTAGTAGCATTTAATGGATTAAAACCTGAAGAATCATCAAGCTTCCTGAAGAAAGGAGGCTTAGTAACGTTTAAAGACTTAAAATTCTGAAAACTCACCAAGCGTCTTGAAGAAAGAAGTCTTAAAGGCCTTGTATGGTTCAAAATCTTGAAGACTATTTAAGCTTCCTAAATAAATAAGTCTTTTTTTTTTCTGTACCACTTGCTGCCACAGGCTCTAAAGTGTTGCCACGAAACTGAGTTGAATTTTAAAAACTATGGGACTAATAAAACTATAATGGATGAAAGTTTACTAATTTAAGGGTTTGAAGGCAATTATAGAAAACATCACAAAAATCAAAATAAAAAGAAAAATTTCTTGTAGTTTTGCTATACTAAAATAATTAAGTGTCAGTTAAAAAAAATAAAATATTTTGTTTAGTTGTTAGTTTACTGTTGTTATTTAAAACATTCATTAAATCAAATGTACAGTGAGAAAAGCATCAGTCGAACTGTTTCTTTGACAAAATAAATAATATTGTATGTAACGTGCGTGGTCATGATATATAAATATATATCAAATATTATTTGATATGTTCAGATTGACTTAAATGAAATATTATTTTGTAAAAAAATATGCTTAGGCTCACTTAACTTTTTCAGGAAAAAAAATAAGCAAACTAAGATTCTACTAGAATCAAAATCACTTTAAAGTTAGTAAAACGTATTTCAAAAATTATTGTTTTAAATTAACTCAAACATTGAGTCTTAAGTACACATAATTTCAGACGTTGTTGAATGTTTCATCCTTCAGTATTTTTTTCCAATTGCAATATTCTTATGGAAGATAAGAAATACAGCATTTATTCGTAGCTATATTTGGCAGCATTTATTCGTGTTGGTTTCAAAATCGTTTTTTTTTCTTTTTTCATCGGACATTTTTCAGCTTTAATTGCTAGGCATTTTCAAAATGTTGACTGAGAAAAGAAACGTTATGAGTTTGGAGAATGTAATGTAATGAAGCATTAATGAATTGTGGACAAAACTTCTCAAGCTATGTACTTGTCTTGTTTTTATCATCAACAAAATTGTAGTAAGAGGAGGGACAACGTGCTAATAGATCACGTAGTTAAGCTTCAAAGATTTATAATTCTTTTTAAACTTCTTCTGACAAACCTTATCCAATGTATAACGTAGACAGAAACACATCAGGAAAGACCGACATGCCTTTTCCATTGTAGAATAACAAACCTGTCTGTCATATCCCCGGATCGCTAGCCCGTTCATTGGCAACGCTGTGTCAGAATCAGCTGCTTATTCTGTGTCTTTTTCGCTTACAGGCAGAAAGAACAGTACTTCTAATCTAACTAATGATGTGCTTGCAGTATAAAAGACGACTGCGATTAAAGGAGATTTCCTTACCAAGTGACAAAAGCAGAAAGATAAGTTGTTAACTAGTCAGATCGATACACTAAAGAAAAAATGAACTGCTCAAGATAATATTCTTTGCCTTAAAAGTATTTCTTTGCACACACTCGTGATAAGTTCAAAGTTATGAAGTTCTTTTTTCAATTACTCGAGGAAACTTAGCTATAGTTGGATAGCTTCCAAAGACACATTAAACGCCACCTAGGTGACTCAGCGTTATGCTTGAGGGTTTATAACGCTAAAAGTCATGTTTCGATACACGCAGTGGGCACAGTGAAGATATTCCATTGTGTAACTTTGCACTTAAAAATAGATAAATAAAACTTATAATAAACTGTTATTACACAATCATCAGCTTAAATGTTATAACATGTAGACGTTTAACACAGAAATGGTCGAAGAAAGATGTATTCCTCTGTTTCGCTTTCACTTCTGACATGATTGACTTCCTTACTGGTAGGAACTAAAAACATTATGTTATTTCAGTAAAAGAGTAAAAAATTGACCATGTAATGATGCTAAACTAATAAAAAGTAAAGAAAATAATAGAAGCGAATGACGTAATAAGTAATAATGCAGACGCGTTGGGGTCGAACTTACAGTCGTGGTTAATTCAGAGTAAAATGTTAAATGTGAGGAAGAGGCGCCATTAGTCAGAATAAAAGAATCACTTTTGCTGTAAATGGTGAGATAAACCTTTCCAATACTAACCAACAGTAACGACATAGAGCTGGTTTTCTCGTTACATAAGCAGAAAAGATGGATTTGTAACTTTCCTGTTTATAATCATTTCTAACTGCAAGATATAAGAAACTTACAGCTGTTGATTTATATAACGTATCAACATTAGCCTAGGAACTGTAGTTATGGTTTATCACGTGGATCTAATTTGAAATTTATGCACTGAGTGATTTGATTCCACTTGTTAACTACGCATTTAGCTTCTGTCTCTCTCTTTGTTTCAATTGTTGGGGGACTTGCAGTTCTAGATAACAAAAAAAGCTCATGACTTTGTTAATTATAGGCTAAAGGATTGAAGAAAATTTCTTAGTTAAATAAGTATATATTATTCATCTTGTGCGGCTAGCGTTATGAAAGCTTGGACTTCAGTTATGGTGTCGTTTTTAGGTTCTTTGTAATCTCAATTACTTCTCTGTAAATATTTTCATTTGAGATCTTATAAGAATTTTAGGTGACGAAAGACGGGTAATTTGCTTTTTTTTTGACTTCTGTTATGCTGGATATGAATTTCGAATAAACTTCAGGCATCATTTTACTGCTTATATTTTGACATCTTTAAGCTAGACTAAGTTGCACTACACAATTCACATCTTGGCAACGCATTCGAGAGTACTTTATAACTAGGGTAATTTCTACAGAAGTTATTAGACCCGATCTTGTAATTGCTGGTTTAACGACTCGTGAATTTCCTGGTGGTTATGAAGTAGTTAATTTGGCACGTTCTGTACAGAGTTAACAGACACGATATTCATTAACTGATTCTTGTTTTCTACGCAAATAATAACATTTTACCTACGTTAGTTTACTGGCATGTTTTCTCTCTATCTGATGTCTATGAAGCGAAAGGGGTAAATTCACGATAGTTAGAATACCACTGTGTGTAAGAAACTGTACAATCGGTGCACTGTAATCGTAAATCGATTGTCTATAAAAATGAGCTTATTTTTGCTTTAACAAACACTAGCTCTATCTAATTCTCCTGTTATTCGTGCTCTAGTGATTATGTTTCAGGAAGTATATAACAAACTACGATTCCTGTGACACGTGCTTCGCTGAAGTGCTAAACTTTGTATCAGCTCTTTTTCAAAGCAGCAGTTGTAACACGTATGTGACAGGGGAACATTTAGATACCTAAGTTATGTTGCTACACTAGATTTCCTGCATTTGTCTGCAACAAAAAATAATGAGACAATCTTGAGTTTGATAATACCGTACGTTACTTTTGTTCCGTCTCCTGTTGCAGCTTATAGTTTCTGGTGTGGTTTTTAAACTTAATTTTCATATAATAGCTATGACGTATTAATAGTGAAAACTAATTTCAGATAAAAATTATTACTGGAAGAAATTACATGACCCGTCAAAGTTAATATGATTGTAAATCATCACAAGAAATAATTTTTTATTACATAAGAACCATTTTTCAGCGTGAAGGTGTCCTTTTACATCTACGACACGAAACGTTTTGCTTGATTTAGCAATATTATATATATATATATGTTGTATCTAGGTATTTTAAAAACAGTTTTAATCTATTCAAGACACAATTTTCTGTTTATATTATTGTCTTTGAAAGCGAACCTCCATCTATCTATCGTGAGAGAAAGAATCACAATACCAGTCGTTGATAATTCTTTATCATTTACATACCAGCTATTATATATTGTTTAGTGATTTGGAATATCGGGAATTTTGAAAAAGAACGAACTTGATAGAGTCCCTGAAGACAGTCACTGCTTAGATTTGGGGAACTG